CAATACTTTACTTGAATGGGATGGAAGAAATAGCAAGTGAATTCTAACTTGTGCTCATTGGAATCTCCTAGTAATGTGACCTAGATATTTTTGCACCTGTAGACTTTTTGTCTGAGACCTGCCTTCGCATTAAGCTTTAGAAAACGCGTGTTTGTGTGCAGTGATCCAGTTGAGTGAAGGAAAAAGTGGTTCATAAATAATAATAAAGGTTTCTGAGATCACAGCGTGAACAGATGAGAAAAGCTGCAAAATGAAGGGCCAAGCTGGTCTACAAATGTTCCATGTAAAAATGCTTTTTTGTTCCTTGTAAATTATAAAGCTTTTATTAAATGTTTTGGAAGAGGAAGGAAGTAAGGAAAGCATTGGGGTCACTTTGTATGTGGTTTCCTGGAGTGTCATGATTGAAAAATGGAATCTGAACATTTAAGGATTTAAAAGCCTACATGCTGTGCTGTGGAAAAGTACAGATTTGACTCTTTGGTTCTGAGCAGCAAGGAATGTGCTTTGCTGTGGCTTCCGAAGGAAACACTCTCCATCTATAAGACCATTGCTTATTAAAATGGGAAATGTTCTCGGTTTTGTTTTTGTCTGAGATTGCCAGCAGTTTATGTTTCTTAAGTTTTCAAATGTAAATGTTTCAGGGAAATTAAAAATGACGAAATGTCTGAAGTATGATGTAGCTTGTATCTTCTTCTGTCATCCAGTTAGCATATATTAGGTGAGTGTTATTGAGACCAGAGTGAAACTGACAGCTTGCTGCTTCCAAAGGGGCAGTATCAGAACTTCATCATTTTTCCCCACACACTTGTGTGATTCTGATCTTCGTGCCTATTCACACAGCCATTGGTAAGTCAGTTTTTCTGTCTAAGCAATGAACAAAATAATTCCATTTTTTCTTTCCTACCAGTTTAAAGAACTGACCTGAGTAAGGAAGTGGGATGAATGGCAGGAAAGGCAGCACTTGGCCATCTCTTTCACTGCTACTAAACTTTCAGATTGGCTCGGTTATCTTGTGAAGCCTCACCCTTTGGATCTGATTAGGGGGGTGCTGGCTCTCCTCAGAAGTTATTGTCCACATCTGAAGTTGCTGATCACTTGAGAAAGGCTAGTAAAATAAAGTCACTGTTGCAGGTTTACTGACAGCTCGTAATGTCTCTCACCTCTTTGGTTTTCTGTGGTCTTTACAGCAGCATTTTAGTCTCCATTTACCCATCTCCTCTTTTCATTGATACGTCACCTTATAAACTCTTCACACATTTACTCAGTTGTTTGCTTCAACTTTTGTTCTCAGACCCTGCAAAATGAATCAAAAGTGGATTTCTCCTGCAGTCCTGATAAATGTTAACCTGTAGCAAGGTAGGCATTACAGCTAAGCTGCTTCTGAAAGGGTAGTTTCATCCCTTTTCTGGCAGTGTGTTCTCACTGCTTCGCTTGGGCCAGCTTTGGTGTTTGCGTGACACTGGTGGGCTGGTCTGGGGAGATAGGCAGTGGAAAATTTACCATAGTTTTAAGTTCATCTGGCTCTGTCGGCCAGCTCCCCGCAGGGTAGAATGAACACCAGGCTTGGCCTAAGGATGGAGAGCCATAAACACACAGGCAGAGAGATTGTTCACAGGACTGCTAAAAGGGGAAAAGCTGGGACATCTGTTTTAGCAGTAGTTCTTGATTAGGTAGATACGGCTGTAGCATCATGCCACATCCTGAAGGCAAATACCTTGCTGCTTTTGCTTAAAATTGAGTGCAGGAGGATGATCTATCATAAATTTTCTGTCCATGAGATGCTTCCATAGACAAAGTTTTCAGCCCTTGCAGCTTTCTTCCTCCCTCATTAAGAGTTCTAATACACTTTTTATTAACCATAGTTTGTATTACCAATGTTTTGATTCTCTTCATTTGCTTCAAATGCTTTTACATTAACCTTGTCACAAATATTTGATTGAATATGGCACCACATTGACTATAACCTATAAATTTACACCAGAACTGCAGTCATCGCCTCTAAACAGTCTTTTATTCTTCATAACAATCAGTTACATTTATATTTGCTCTGCATTTTAAGTTTACGAGGGCTGGAATTCCCAGTTTTTCTCAGCATCAGTAGTTTTTCATTTCTCGGTGAAAGTAAATCTTAATTTTGCTGCCAACTTTGTCTCAGCCAAGTAGAGCTGTCAAGCAGAGCTTCCTTTTTGAAGTCATTGGTTGTTCAGTTTGCAGGCAGCTGGAGTGCAGGAGGTGAACCTTAAGATACTATGTTATTCATTAATACTTGTTAAGATATGTCTTTTTGTAAGAAAGAAGAAACAGCTCTAGATTTGAGAGAGTTTATATTTCCTAACAGCATTGGAAGTTTCTGCTTAGTATGTGTCTGTTCATTTTGCCAGGATTGTCTGGTTTCTCTTGTATTAACAACTAAGCTGAGCAGCTCACAAGATGTAAGGCTATTATATTTAACTTGCATTTACATTTTTGTGCTCTGCTGAGTAGCGTAGAATAATCCCTTGCTTTTTAATATAATGTTTTGTGGTATATAGCATAGATGTCATATCCCTTTCTATGTTATGACTGAGAAAAATGAGGCCCACTTTATTTATTCATAACACTCACATAAGCTCTTTAATAATTCTCCTTTTTCATTAGGGTTGATTCAGATTTAACACTAGCATTGTCTTTCATATCCAGCCTTTTCTGTACATTTCTGCTTTATAAACATCTTAGGTAGTTACTTAGCTTCACAGTGATTGGTAGCATATTTATTAGGAATGCAGAGCCTTTCAGTTTACCAAGAAAGTTTGAAGACAGAAATTGGAGAAGGGTGACAAGTAGCTTAAAAATATCAAATCAGTCTTTAGTAAGGAATATATATGTGTGTGTGTTTATAGATGGGTGGGTGTGTACATGTTTATGTTTGTCTGCATTTATCCAAATCTGTCAAATAGATGTCTACATATATCTAAATACTGTTTCATGGCTACAAACCAAGCTTTACATCAATATAGTTTGTTGATTCCTACTGTGTCAGCATAGAAGAGAATGAATGTGTATATATAGAATTTGTCTTCCAAAGACATGTCATGATTTTAATTTCTTTTTCTGAAGCAGTAGGGTACAAAAGTACTTGAGGATTATGCTCTTTAAAAGGCTCTAACTGCATTTTTCTTTGTGTTGTTATTTGCTCATGTGTTGTATTAGGTACCCATTAAATGAAGTGTTTTATCTGAACATAAGGACTCAATCGTAAGCACAAATGTAAAAATAAGCCCTGTTCAGGTGCAATGTCAACTTATTTTGGGAATACAACTATATTGCACTGAATAAAGGTAGTATTGCCTACCCTTTTAGATACCAGAGTGTTTAGTTCTTGCTATTCTTAGCAGTACTCATTAAATCAAAGTATTTCTGAAGCCTTATCCTAAGAAAGTTCAGTAACTTCACCTTGAATAGCCTCACGGGAATTTGAAACAGATTTGTGGCAGAAACATGTGGTCCAAACAGCTGTCACACAAAATCATTTAAAAAAAAAAAAAATCTGAAAATCTGGTGAACTCAGAAATCTGTTGTGCCTGTTGTTTTGACTTGACTTTTTTTCCTTTTTTTTTTTTTTTAATGAAGATAATACTAAATACATCCTTCAAGGAAAACCTCTAATGTAGGTCTTTATTTTAGCTATGGCTTTATGTTAAACTGGTGTGCTTGGACAGATGTGCCTTTTTAACATAGGGCTTTTAAGGACTTCAAATTCATAGTTTGCCTTTCCTGTGAAATTACAAATAGTTTGTTATTGTACATCAATGGAGGCGTAAAAGTCTCAGAAAACAAAACAGGATTTGGACAAGGATCAAAGAGTGAGAGTCAGCATGAGAGTATCTGTCTTATGATCTTGGATTTAATTAAAAAATTTTAAATTCTGTCAGTGTAATCTCTCCAAAGCAAAGTTAGGAAATGCTGGTTTGTTTCCTGACAATCACTGGTTTTGTTACCCAGCATGCTTGGACAGGCAGAGGGGGTTCCAGGCTGCCTGGGGAGAAGCAGAGCGAACTGTTCCCTCTGCTGCTTTCCAGCACTAGGGCATTTCCGCTGTGTTGGGGACACTTGTTTCTGACCTGCCCTGGACTTCTGACTCATGAATCAGTTAATCTCTGAGAGAAATAAAGGGAAAGGGTTTGGTTTAGTAAAAAGAAGAGGGAGCCTATAGTGCAAAGGATAACAGAGCATTCTGATAACATCAGCCAATTTTTATACCCTGTGGTTTACAGAAAATTCCTGCAAGATTGAATAGATTATTGAGGGGAAAAAAACAAAACAAAACAAAAAAACCAACCAAAACAACCAGCCCCAAAACGAAAAGAAGCATAAGCAAATTTTAGAAGACTGGCTGAAATTTAACATTTGAAAAATGGTTTATGTGAATGATTTTGCTATTTTTAATGGGTTTGTATGGCAGTGTCAACTCTAAATGGAAAAATAGGTGGTCTGGAATGGCGAAGATTTTAAGTGAAGCAACAAATGGAAGTGGGAGGGTGTAAATATTTTCTGTACCATAATCGATGGATGAGATGATATTAGACATGTCAGAGGTGTGATCATGACAGATGTAAATAAAACAACATTGAAAACTCCAGTTTTGAGTATGAGTCACTGGAAGAAAAAACCAACACTTTATTTTGAAAAAATAAAATACAAATGAGTTGGTACTGCTCCATGTGACAGTGGATAAATACATGCTTATTGGTCTGACTGTACTATTTATCACAATAATGCTGTTAGTTTACCAAGAGATCACCTCAGCCATGCTTTGGTTTCTTTAAAAGGTGTAACACTTCATAATATACTCCTTTTTTTCTTTTCTGTTTTTCACTTTCTAAATAAGAATTTCTCTGTGGCTAATTTGCAAATGCCAGTTAAATCACGAGTTTTAGTATGGTGTTCAGAGAGCTTTTTTCAAATAAACAGCATTTTATTAATTGTTTTCCATTTTTTTTTTCTTCTGCCTCTCATTTCAGAACGGTTTGATCACCACTGTCCCTGGGTAGGCAACTGTGTGGGGAAAAGAAACTACAGATTTTTTTATATGTTTATTTTATCTCTGTCCTTTCTGACAGTCTTTATATTTGCATTCGTTATCACCCACGTCATCCTTCGTAAGTATGCTGGTGAAATCAGATTACGTATGTAGCCATTTGCTTGAGTTTCTTATTTTTAAGTTAATCTTTTGATCATTCAGGGTTTATTTATTTATTTATTTATTTGCCTTTTCTCTGAAGCTTCACAGTCCCTAGTGAGTTCCATTCTGGTCTGTAGTAGACCCTGGTCATGGTAGTCATTGATCTAGCACTGGCTTTATCTTAATACAGTGTTAATTTTCTTTTTTTTGTCCTTTTATGGATGATTTATTGGAAAAGCAGCACACATACTGCGTGTCTAAGTATACGTATAGTATCATTTTCCCAAAGAACTTTTGTGTGGTTTTAAAATTGTAAGCATGGGTCACTTGCCATCCAAACAAACAGGTAAATTGCTAGGAAATAGTTTTGATCTATTTTATATTTTTTATTATTTGCTGTTTAGTTTTACATCTTTCTCTACCCTATTTTTAAAACAAGTTACTTTCATTTGCATAGCCATTCTGAGAATAACCAATTTGTAATGGAGTGAATCAGATAACCTATAGAAAGATGAATATTCATGTGTTCTGATTTTTATTTGTATTCTGGATTGGGTTTGAGGTCAAGACTCTTTTGGATACTGTCGCCTTTTTTTTTCCCACACGCATAACAAATTTTGTTAGCTCCTATATGATGATGATCTAATTTATGGTGATAGGTTATATGATTTGTCTTTAAAGACCTTTTGTATGTTGTGGGGTTTTTTTAACTAGGAAGCTTAAGAGTGTTCTATGTTTCACTAATTATATAGGATATTGCCTTGACGAGTATTTCTTTAACCATTTTGGAAATGTGATCTTTTTATTTCTTTGTATTCTGTATTACCGTGGAAACCTGATAGAAGTAATAACTTCAGTTTATAACACATTTGTAAAGCTAACTTGATAACAGCAATATTTAGAGAATGTTTTAATGAAAGATATGCCAGATTGTGCTCAATTTCCTAAATTGCTTACACTATGCAGGGAAAATTTGTATTTTAAAAAGGAGAACTCCTGCTCTTTATTGGTGCTTTGCAAAAGAAGGGTATGAGCACTGAGTGGCTCCCCTATAGCTCAGAAATCTAGCACATAGGCTAGAACTAGGGAACCCTAGTTGTGAGGGAGTCTGGATCAATAAGTTTTTCTCTCTGCCAGGTACAGCATTTCTAATACCAGTTGAAAGAGTAGAGATAAGATGTACATATTGTTTTAAAAGGGAAAAGTAATTATTGGAAAGAGAGCACTTTCCATTAATGCTTAAATCCTTGACATTGATTTGGGCATACATGAGTACATACATACACACCTTTTACATTTAAGAAGAAGGAAGCATGGGTTTTTTTCTGTCATCTTACTTTGCTAGAATTCAGTAGTTGAAAACATTACCAGTCTGACAATGTAAAGCTACCTTTGAAGCTAGCCTACCTTTATTTCACAAAGACTACAGTGCTTTTTTTTTATTATTTACTTTTCAGCATATGAATGACCAATGTTACGCCAATATTTCATGTTCTGTGTGTCAAGTAGATTTATTCAGTGGATCTTAGCTTTACAGTGTCCATACCTAATTCGAAGTATGAATTAGACAAAGAGCAGAGAAATTAATTGTGCCTCTGTGTGGTTAAGAAGCACTTAAGCATTGTGTAGGTGTTACAGATGATGTATAGTAAATGTTAAATGCTGAATTGTCTTAGTATATCAGCTGCAAAATATTCTTGCTATGGAGGTTTATCTACCTTGGATGAGATAAGAAAAACCTTCTTAGTTCTAAAGATTGGTTGATCCTCAAAGGCAATGGGAGCAGGTATGAATTGTGATTAGTTCCATGATGTTTATTTGCTACATTTGAGCTTCAAACTCAGCTTTCAAATTTATCTGCTAAGATCTTGACTGTGTTCAAAAAAAAGAGTTCTTTACAAATAAGGCTTTCTTATCATATCGATCACTCTGTTGTCTCTGTGCCTACCATGCTTCTAGAAGTCCTCATGTCTACCTTTCTAATAGTTGCTACTCAATCATTTTTGTTCTGTTTTGCAGCCCTGCAGTTCTTCAGCTGATGCTAACCAGTAAGCAGGATTCTCAGTAATTTAATCTGAACCTTTACACTTGGCATAGACTGCTTTGTGTTAGCATGTCTGAATAAAGTCTCAGTTTTCAGACCTGGGACTATGATCTTCCTGCAGTGTTTCCAAGTCATCCATATGTATTTTCATAAGTTCTGGCAAAATTCTTGGTTCTAGAGGAAGTCCTGCTGACTTGGTCAAATCCAGTTCTTAACTTTTCTGAAGACAATCCTAGCAGGATTACCTTCAGCAACACTTTATTCTATGTACCCTGTGTTAGACTGAATGCTGTCTGACAGTATTCTTTTAGGAAGGGACTGAGGGATATTTATAGCAACTTGTAGGCATTGATGTTAAAGAAACCAAGCAGACTTTTTTGGGTTCATGCTATTGGGGAAGTTTGTTCTCTGACCTTGTTGATTACATAGGAAAACCTGTTTTCTTATTTTTTAAATGTCTCTTGATGTAGACAAATTTCAAAAATTTGTATCATTTTTTCATACATCTTGCAAGCTGTCATTTTTTAATTTTTGTTGGGCCTAAGTGGTGACGAGATGTAAGATACATCCTAACTTTTTGTTTTCTGTGGCTTCTGAGGCATTCATTAGAAATTTGCCCTTTTCAAGATTAAGAATATGTGCACATAGTATTATAGAAGGTGATAAAATGAATTTGTAAATCAGATTTTCTTCCATTTCCCCAAGCTTAACACTTTTTCAGTAGTAGTGTCTGCCTTCACAGTTACTCAGCTATGTTTGAGGCATCAGTATTTCAACTGTTTGTTGCAATGAGGAACCTTTCCCTTCTGATGTATTGAGAACTGCTTGGAAGAGTGTGACCAGCAGTAGGGAATAGAGATCACACCTACCTGCTGCCATTGCCATTAAGGATCCTAAGAATAGTAAGAAGGTAGGGGGAATTCCATTAGTCTTGTGCCTTGAGGCTAAGAACCAGTTATGAGAGTCTGAAAAGGCTCAGAAATCCGAGGTAAGTAACTTTCTCTTTTTAATGCCAAACAGTAAAATTGACCAGGCAGGACTAGATAATATATTTGTGTATACATACGTACATACATATTTTCTTTTTTATTTTAAAGACAAGATTCTTCTCTCTTCATACAAATCTTCAGATTAATTTAGCTAAGGGGAAAATTTTTGCTGTGGGAAAGACTTTCAACCTGATGCATTTAAATAATTTAAGTTATACAGTAAAATGCAAACTATGTGCCTATAGCTATGTGACACTGGGTCAGTTTCTACAAACTAATAGGCTTGTTCCAATCCGCAAATTGTCGGATTCCCCTTTCTGACTAATATCTCGTGATTGTGGAACCCAAGTGGATGCTTCTGCATCTCTAGTTCATTGGATCATACCGCTCTTGAGCTCTTTTCAGCTAGTAGATATTCTCTTGTTTGCCCAGAGGCAACAATCACCTCTTAGAAAAACCTTCTGTACAGGTACAGTAGGACCAGGATTATAGTCTAGAGAACTTTGGCTGCTCCCTGAACAAAGGAGGGAAAGTTGAGAATCTGAGTTTATAGAATAAATTTTCCAAGTCAAAAAGTTACTTTGAAAAATAGTATTTCAAAATAAAGTAACTCGTAATTTTTTGCTTCCATATTAGGTCTGAAAAGAATAGGGATAGTCAGAAACTTTGTTCATGGGAAAGTATGCGTGCATCAATTTGGTATGACTGAGAAAATATCCTGCAGATGTTAGACCTGATAACTTACTCAAGGTTTTTTTCTGATGTTGTTGCTGCTGAGCAACATATTTTCAGATTCATATTAGTGAATCTATTCTATGATTATTCAGTTATCTTCAAATATTAATTGTGTTTGACTATGGTGAAAACAGCCGGTAGTCCAGTTTCTTACTCAGCTGGTAATTTTGGGTTCTATTTCTACAGGTTCTCAACAGACAGGGTTCCTCAATGCCCTGAAGGACAGTCCTGCAAGATATCCTTTCACTGAAACAAATTGTAGATGTTGTTGCAAAATAACATGAGATGTGGTTTTGCTTATTCGCTTATTGATGTTGGATATGTGCATTTGGAACTTTTATCAGTTAATGATTTCATCACTTCCTGCACAATAGTATTTCTCACCACATGTTGAAGGTAGGAAAGAGACTATAGCCTGGGGTGGTTATTTTCATCTTTTTCAGAGTAGTACTCTTGACAAAGGTCTGTAGTTTCCATACGTAATGGAAATATGCTCCATATATTTGTGATGGAATTCATAAATTTATCTCACGCTATACCCATCCTGTGGTTTCATTTAAAACATTCAGTAATTCTGCTTTTACAAGAGAAAGTATCCAAAATGGCTGATTCTTGTCAGGATACAAAAAGTAGATTGTGGAACAACTGAAACAATAAGCTGTCCCTGAAGAGTTCAGTTCCTGAAAGTATTCTTATGTTGATGTACTGGTTTTAGGGAAGTCATTTTTAAGTACCAACTTCTGTTAATTTACATGCAAGTATATACATGCATACACCAAGGACTAGCGTTGTTTTTCAGCCTGGAGAAGAGAAGACTGGAGAGATCTCATTGTGGTCTTTCGATATATAAAGCAAGCTCATAAGAAAGACACAGAGAGACTTTACTAGGGCCTGTACTGACAGGACAATAGGCAACGGTTTTAAACTGAAACAGGTAGATTTAGGTTGACTATAACAAAGAATGATTTTACAATGAAGGTGGTGAGATGTGGGAACAGGTTGCCCAGAGAAGCTGTGGCTGCCCCCTCCCTGGCAGTGTTCAAGGCCAGGTTGGATGGGGCTTTGAGCAACCTGGGCTAGTGGAAGGTGTCCCTGCCCATGGTGAGGGATTGGAACTGGATGGTCTTTAAGGTCACTTCCAACCCAAACCATTCTGTGGTTCTATTCTGTAAATACTCTGTGTTCTTTTTATCATTTCACAGGAGCTTTCTGTGTATTTTCTGCTCAGTGAGAATGGAAAAGGCTCCTTCTGTCTGAAAGCCGCTAACATAATGAAAAAATGGGAAGCTGGTATAACTACTGTTTAGTTTCTTCCTTACATTTCCATACAGACTGTAAGCTTCCCACCCCTTATGTATACATTTTGAATGGTTTGTGTCTGAATAAATAGTTTGCACCTCTTACAAAGATACTATGAAAAGAATTCTTTCCCATACTTGCGCCGAGGACAAGTCTTTTGTCCGTTGTGCCTCATACAGTTTGCTCTTTTCCACTTTTCCAGAGTAGGAAGAAAAAACTCTTACTCTGTCATTTGTAGTTGTACATAAAGACAAACTTCTCTTTCAAGGTAGTTTTTCAAAGTGTCAAATTCTCCAGATTCTGCAGATACAATTTTGTGCGTGTGCGCCTGTTCATCAGGTAGATTCACTGAGCTGTAAACTCCCTTTTTAAACAAAGACACTGTTCAGATTTCTTTTGTACAAATAATTTTACAAAGCACAAACAGTTCTAAATAGCACAACAATAACTTCCAAGTAAAACAATTACAATCACTTCTTACAAAAGATTATTCTTTCCAACTATTTTCAAACTGAGAATAGCTTTCAGTTGCCCTTAAATCAAAAGGTAATTGATTATGCATGTGAGGATCCTTGTACAGGAACAGTGGGCTGCTTATTCATAATTTGTATTCAGAGGTGTGCGGCTTTGAAAGGCTTAGTAGCGTATCTTGTAGAAATGGCCTGGTTTGTTAGTGATGTGTTGGACAATTTAATAGCTTGGTTACAATTCCTAACAGCAAAAAATTAAATTTGCTGAATAGCATTGGGAATGATGCTTTGGAGCAAGCCAGTCAATTGAGGTACAGAGAACATTGCTGTGTCTATCTTGCTAACAACCTGTGTAAGGTTATAACATATTACACTAGTAAGTTACACTCTGTTGAGAATATATTGCTTTTTTGTGTTTGTTTTTTAATTAATGGAGTCATGTTAATCTAACATAAACCACCCCAGCTGTTCTAGAGATCTTTTTGGATCTTGGT